TGTGACCTCAAACGGCCCTTGCCACTTGGCGAGTAATTTAGAGCTGAAAGAACGCAGCAGTACAAGTACTTTATCTCCCGGTGAAAATTTCTGTAGCTTAGTGCCCTTGTCATAGCGATGGCCTCGTTCACTTTGAGCCTTAAGCTAATTTTTCCATGGATAGCTGCCCCAGTACATGGAGTTTTGCCCACATGTCCAAAATGTACAGAACTTCATTTTTAATATTAGAAGGCTCGTCCTCCCAAGCCTCTCTGACAACATCCAACACCCCTCAGGGCTGTCTGCCGTAGAGAAGCTTGAATGGGGAAAACCTATTGGAGGGTTGAGGAACCTCCCCAACAGCGAATAGCAAGGGCTCTAACCACTTATTCCAAGCAGGCAGTGCACCATCTGCTGATGTCTCTGTGACAGCCCAACCAAAAAAATCGGGATATGAGGCTATTAAGCGTGGCCGCTTGGCATGCTTCCTTGCCCCCAGTCCTGGTATCCATCCCACAGAGTCACAGAGAGAGGTTAAATCCCCGACCCTGGACGAATCACCTGACAGCATCGGGATGACTCTTACCAACCACTCAGTCCGTGGCCAGCCACATGCCTCCGCCATCTTTTCAAATAGGTCCAGGGACACTTTCGGATCATCCTGAGGCCCCATCTTCTGGAGGAAGATGGGAGGTTGAGCCCAGTCCTCTCGCTGGGCTTCCACCAGGACGTGGAACCGTTGGTCTTGGTCCACCCGAATCTCTCCACCAGCAACTTATGTTGCTCGCAGTGGAGGATTGCGAGCACCTGGATCACTTCTGCAAATGGACTGGTCGACGGAGTGATCATCTGGGCAGCGAAGTCTCTTTTTCTTCCCGGGTTTCGGCACAACTGTAGTAAAGTTCATTTTGTGGGAAGAAGAACACAGGGCCGGCGATATCAGGAAAGCACAAATATTTATCAATTTTCTGTGCTGGGCACTTGTGTGCATGCGTGTGTGTATTAAGTCTCTGTTGTCAGGCTCTCCTCTCTCTTGGCTATTCCTTCTCCTCCCCTTATGAAGGTCTCTCTCCGGCCCACCCACTAGAAAATACGGGTGTTATTGATTATTTATAATTGGACCACTGACCAGCAGCCGGTGTCTGCGCTTGCTCTCCCCCCTTTTTGGGTGTTCGATCATGCCTTACTCACTACTTTGCACTCTGTAACCATCCAGCTTTATTTGCAATTATCTTTTGAGACTTTTTCTCTTTATGGAATATTCCAATGATGGTCTTCTGCACAACCATCTAGTCAGAAATCTATGCCATGATTCTGAAGTCTACTAGGCCAGACTGAGACTATTTCAAGGCTTTGCAATGATTAGTGGACTAGATTGAAACTTTGAGAACCTACAATCAGGGATGGGCAAAAACACATTAAAATGTATTTTAAAATAAAATACAAAATGCATCACTTTTACATGTATCAAAATAAGCTACAAAATACAGCAGCAACAAATGTATCAAAATAAAATATTTTGAAAATACAAAATAATTTTACAAAGGAGCCTCAAATTTCTTCGCAAACCTTCTATCAATAGGCATATTTGGTCAATCCTTTCACCTTTAAACTGACTTTTTCTTTCATTTTAGTGTGCATTTTGTACAAATTTCGCACTGAAAGTCCTGTCTTGAAGATGATTTTTAATCACTGTAAAAAACATCTAATGCAGATAATGAGTAGGAATAAAGTACTATATCTCTTCATTGTGTTTTCATCCATTGCGTGGCCAAAGAAGTTGCAATCATCTCTTAAAAGTTGTATGTTTTAAAGGGTGATATATGAAGATGATATATTATTTATGTTTGTGCAATAAATGTAGTTTTTTGCAATTTAAATCTTCAATACTTAATGTAAAAAAATTATGTCTCCAATTTAAGTAATTTCCATAAATCATGCATTTTGCAATTGTACTCTTTAATGCACAACATAAAACATGATATCTCTAAAAAAGTATTTTTTTTAATTTCTTTTTTGCAAATAAACTGGTCATATACATCCTGCTGCTGCTGTATAGACTAAAGTATTATTACATATTTGTCTCATATACTGTATTGTACCATTTCTTCATTAACTGTACAGTGCACCTGCAGATCAGCTACTGGCATTTGAAACAGTCTATGAAGTATTCTAGGAATCGCCACTGTAGGACTTCTTTTAATGTTGTTTGTCTTATATTCTTGGCATCTACATCAGCAACGCACTTAAAACTACATCCATTTGTACAGTTTACTCATTATTCCAATATGTTTTCAGTTCTTCTTTAACTGGAAGAGTCTGTTTACCTTCTTAGTGAACATTAGTACACAGTATTTAGGTGTTTTATATTTCTAAAGTTCCTCTACATTCCCACCTGCAGCACTGAGACTGATAATGATTATGAGCTGAAGGCTCCACATCCTGTTCTTAAGGACCGATATTTTATTCCATCTCATTTCTTAAGCAAAGATGCTGATGCCAAATTGTACACCAAACTGCCATTACATATTTCTGGTCTTAGTTGAAATAGCTTAGCTGGTCTGTTGTCAGACCAGCGCAACCTTAATTTTCACATTGTTTAAATAGTAAATCCATTTGCGCCACTGTGTGGACTCATGGGTGTTCCAATCTAGAAAAGAGGCGTGTTAAGGCGCATTGTTGGCACGTTGCTATTTTGAGAAACTAAAATAGACTGTGCAATTGACCAACTGAAAGCAGGTCTAAAGCATACCTGTCAACAGTCCTGTTTTTCCCGGGATTTTTCCAATCTCCGGTATTGTTCATAAAAACCACTGCCTCCATGCCATCTCCACCTCAAGCGGCTTTTTTTCAATTAATTCCTGACAATCTGCATTTGTATAATGTTATTATTATTAGCAGTATTATTTTTTATATGCATATTTATATTTGTTTTAATAAATAACAAGTTTAGTTATGTCCACCTGTCAAGTTTTGGAGACATATGGGGCATAAGAAGGGAATGTGAGATGAGGCTCTGATTTAATGCACATTATGCTCAAAACACATCTATGACTCCTTAAAAGAATAAGTTCAACGCTGTTAGACCATGTACCGTGGCACAAACCATATTTTTTCCATCCTTAAAATAGCAAAAGTGAATTTGGACACACCCTTAATGCTTTTGCACCATGTGCTTTCAATTCTGCGCTTAGAACGTTAAAATTGAACCCTTTATGTGTGTTGCATGATTTCCATTCGTACTCCATGCATTGACCACCTTCTTAATCAATTTTCTGTTTAGATCTCAAGCCTAGGCAAGAAACTGAGAAAGCACCAATCTGAAGCCCCATTTTTATGATGTCATCATGTAGACTTCTTACAAAGTATTTTACAGTATTTTAAAATACTAAAATACTAAAGTATTTTGAAATATTAAACAATACAAAATATTAACCCATTTTCTTAAATCCCAAAAAATACAAATTACAAAATACTGTTTTGTATTTAAAATATGTATTTAAAATACTTGTATCATAAATACCAATCCTGCCAGCAACTTTATCATGATATTCTAATTTTGTGATATACTGGAGTTTTTCTTTTTTAATCTTTAATCCATAACCATTAAAAAAAAAAAAAAAAAAAAAAACGAAGCCTTAAAATATTTCACTTTGTGTGTAGTGAACTAAAATAACACACAAAAAAGTTTCACTTTTTGAATCAAATTATTGAAATAAATGGACTTTCCCTCAATATTCCTTTTTTTTTTTTTTTGGCACAAAGGTGTATAATTAACCTTAAGCTCTTAAATTGCATTCAAAGTGAATTTTAGTATCTTGCAAAATAGCTAGTAAAATAATATGTACTTTGATCATGGCAAATATAAAATATATAAGTTAATGAAATATACATTATTGTGAATCTAGTATGTTTTAAAATGTCTTGAATAAACTTCTCAATGGAACAGCACTTGGCAAACCAAAAAAGAATGATCATTTCACAGCAGTGATAATAAATATGTCTTCAATTTGATATCATAATATTTAAATGAAGTATATTACATACTGTTAAGCTGCTTTGACACAATCTAAATTATAAAAGAACTATAGAAATAAAGATTAATTGAAATAAACCTAATTTAATTATTAAAATATTTAAACTCTGTAAATGTGTTTTTAATATGTAATATGTAATTAATAATATGTAATTAATATTAATAGTACATATTAATATTAATATGTAAATTATTACTAATGCAAGAGAATATGGTGACACTATTGACAGTAATATTATTATTGTGTGTGTGTGTGCGTGTGTGCGTGCGTGCGTGCATGTGTGTGTGTGTGTGTGTGTGGCTAGTATTATGTTCTTGAGGTTGGTGGGAGCAGTAAGCAGATGGCACTGGCAGTCTGTGATGGCACTCACAGAGAGAGGGAAAAAAAAGCAAAGGAAAGACATTTCTCACAGTGACCCACAGAAGAGGATTAATGGGGTGAAACAAAAAAAAATCCAGACTTCATATTAAATAAGTGACCTTTAACGCACTTAAATAACGTACAACATAATTCAGATGATGGTCATCAAACATGATTTTTAGACTCGTATGCATAGTCGTATGATACAGGAACCACAAGAAATGTCTCTTTCTTATGCAAACAGACACTGAAAGCTCTATATATCTCCTTGAGTTAAGTCCACTAAAAAAGTGTTGGCGTACTCTCAAAAGATACAATATTCTGCCAGCCCATGGTGCTTTTGGCAGCTAAAGTCACACCTTGCAAACAGAAGGATGTGAGGAGATGGATAAACGAGAAAGAAAAAAATGAAAGGATGAGATCATTTAATGCAGGGCAGAGGGAGAGACAACACCTGGTTGTGGTGCCCTGCATTTGTGTCACGACGTCTTTTGCAATTGCGTCCATATGATGTCATATTCCAAGCAGAAGGTGGCATCCCCTGCCTGATCACCCAGACAACATCAAACACCCCCTCCGTACCTCTGACTTCATCCAAGAGGCATCGAGAAAATAAGGTGCATTTGCGTATATGAATTCGTGAGAAGGAGAGAGAGAAAAGGGAGGGAAAAGAGGTGTGTGTTGTATGAGCAAAAGGGGGGACGGGTAAAGCATATATAGACACCTCATCTTTACGCTAATAACATACTCCCTCAGCTCATGCAAACACACACACTGACATATAAACACCACTCACATTTAAGCCAATTCCTGCACTTAGAGGAAGGAAGAGAGAAAGACAGGGATGCTCCTAGCAGGTGCCAAAAACTGAACTGAGACGTGTGAGGGAGAGAGACACAGGATGGAGCAGGACTAAAGCATTCAGTCAGATATTTTATAAGATCCTCAAACTCTCATTGGTGAGTAAAACAATTTCAAAACTTTATTTTTTTAATATCATGTGAAAATCTTTGCAAAATTGTGTTGAATTTCAACATGAAACTTAATTTAACAATTAGTTTGTTGATTTAAGTATAGTATGCATACTTTATGATCATAAAATGTTTTTATAAACATCATTTTTATTGTTTTAACATAAGGGTTAATCTCATGAAACCTGACAAGAACATATCCATGTCATTTTTTTTTTTTTTTTTTTTACAAAAATCTAAATAATAAATCATTTTGTTTGAATATTTTAAATACAATTTTATTAAAAAAATGCATTGCATTGCAAAAAAGAAATTGTAATATTATATAAATATAAAAATAATTGTAACATAATGATAATAATTTACTTGACTATAATAATGCATGGTTGTCTAAACCTATATTTTTGTAAAACATGGAAAAACTCAGCTGTTAATTATTTCATATAATAAACATTTTTGAGTTGATGCCACCCATTAATGTTTATGTTTTATATTTTGAGGTGTTTAAACATAGAATCAGTTGTGCTGTCTTTGAACTGAATTAAAAGTCCTTTTTAGTCAAATACTGACAGTACTACTGTATTAACAATAAAATAATGATGTAAAATGTAATGAGGGAAAACGTTTCTTTAGGGAATACATTTGAGGTCAGAATAATTATCCCCACTTTGAATTTGTTTTTGTTTTTTAAATATTTCCCAAACTATGTGTAACAGAGCAAGGACATTTTCACAGTATGTCTAATAATAATTATATATATATATATATATATATATATATATATATATATATTTTTTTTTTTTTTTTTCTGGAGAAAGTCTTATTTCTTTTATTTTAGTTAGAATAAAAGCTGTTATTAATTTTTTTAATGCATTTTAAAGTCAAAATTACCTGCCTAGTTACCCTAATTAACCTAGATAAGCCTAAATGTCACTTTAAGCTGTTTAAAAGTGTCTTGAAAAATATCTAGAAAAATATCATTTACAGTCATCATGGCAAAGATAAAATAAAAATTGTATTATTAAAAATTAGTTATTCAAACAATTATGATTAGAAATATGTTGAAAAAATCCTCTCTAAAAACAGGGGGGCTAATAATTCTGACTTCAACTGTATATTATTGTGTATTGTGACCTGGATTCATGTTTTTGTTAGTAAGATTGACCCATTTTCTGTTAAACTGTAATCAGGGATGGGCAGTATTATAATATTATATATAATATTATTATAATACATGCATTTCAACTACATATTTTAAATAGAAAATAGTATTTTATATACTATTTTTTTATAATTGACAGGGCTGATGAAAATGGCTTATTTTTTTTTATCAAAAAACTTTAGATTCTTGTATTTTAGTCTTTTAAAAAATCTGGCAAAATACATCAAGACATTATATGAATGTACTCTCAGATTGCTCTGGATGTTATCAACTCTTCCATTAAAAGAACAAGGAAAAACTCTTAGGAGAAAGACTATATTGTACAATATATTGTACAATATTTGTCGTTAAAAAATAATACTTGACTGTTTCAAACTGATCAGTAGGTCTACTGTATAGTTAATGAAGAGGAAAGATGTAAGCTTTAAGATGTCTTAACATAAGAAAAAATAATAATAATCAAAAACACCTTGTGTGTGTGTGTGTGTGTGTGTGTGTGTGTGTGTGTGTGTGTGTGTGTGTGTATATATATATATATATATATATATATATATATATATATATATATATATATATATATATATATATATATTTATATATATATATATATATACATATACATAACTATAGTTATATAGTTGAAGTCAGATTTATTAGCTCTACTGACTTATTAGCCCTTATTCTGCAATATCAGAACTCGTACAGCCTTCTCACCCTTCTGTTTTACTCTGCCCACATACAGTGAGAGCAGATCAATAAACTCACTACAGTTTAACAAATATTGGAGCTGTTGGACAAAATAATGTACTTTTGAGGCTTTTAGGGACAGTTTTCAGTTTTGATTTTAGTATTGAAAAGTTCAGTAGCAAAAATAAATACATTAATTGATGGAAGATTTGAAAAGATATGTCATGTTTCTTTGTAAAAGTATTTAGCAGCATTACAAAATACAACATAGAAACAAATCCTACAGTAGTGATTCCTACAACACTTCATTGGCTGTTTAAAATGGCAGTAGTTTATCAGTATGTCCACTGTATAGTTAATGAAGAGAAAAGATGTAAGCCGTAAGATTTCACAACATATGAAACAAAAATATTTATTAATCAAAAACACCTAATAAAGTTTTTAGTTTTGATTTTAGTATTGAAGAGTTCAGTAGCAAAAACAATATTTCTGAAAATTTATGTGAACAAAATTTTTTAATTAACACCCTTTTAAAATATTATGAGGTTGAATAATCATTGTACAGAAATTTTACACGTTGTGACTGCTGTATTTTGTAGTTTATTTTGATACACCTAAAATTAAGTTTTTTTTTTTTAATGTATTTTTGCCCATCCCTTACCGTAATACCAACACATGTTTTAAAATGTGTATCTAAATTGATTCAGAATAGTTTAATGCAAAACACAAATTAACCTCTTTCTTTGTTTTTGTTTCTTTGCCCTTTGTGTTGTTTTCAGCTGAATGCTGGTGTTTGTATTTCCATGCTCCTGTGTTTGAGTATATCTATCTAAATCTTTTCATCTAAATCTATCCACATCCCCTCGCATTAGTGGTGTATCTGGGGCCAATATCACTTGCACTATGCTGTGCTCATCTGTGTTTGTGGTGCTTCTTATCCTTTTGGCCAATCCCGTGCCGGGCAGCACCCGAGCCCTTCACACCTCTGACAAAGCCATGCAGGTGGGCTTCCTCAGGCATGCTTCTTTACATGCTTCTTTTCTTCTTACTATTTTAAATTATAAAACAGTGATGTTGACATTTTCCTGTGTCTACAACGCAGGTCATTGAACAGTTCCTTGAGCGATACAATGACCTTTTAACCCTTGATGATCTTGAAAACCTCACAAGTGACCAATCGGAAGAGCCCGTGCAGACCTTCAGCTCTGGGCTAAAGGTTGCAGAATATCCCAAGTGGATTGACATACCGGTGCAGAATGAGAATGCCTGGCTCCGGCTTTTAAAGGGGGCTTTGGCCAATCAGAAACGAGCTCCACCGGATCGGTTGCGGAGGGGGTGGAACCGAGGCTGTTTTGGCTTGAAACTGGACCGGATCGGCTCTATGAGTGGCCTCGGCTGCTAATGATGAACTCAGAAATTGATTTAAAATGACTGTTGTCCTACTTAGGTTACAAAACTCTGTGCTGGTCTAGTCTGGGACCCTGTGAAAATAGTGTACAAAGTTGTAGGTGGACAAATTCATTCAATTGTGTCTCAATATACTTATTTTTACATTGAATTTAAGGTGACGTTGTTTAACTGTATTTGCATATTTATTTCTTAATGAAGGGAGCTGAGTGTTTTAGATGTAGTTGATTTGTGACCCTCATTTTGATATTCTGCTAGTAGTTAACTAGTATTTATAAGGTCTCAAAGAGTCTCAAAATGCATGCTTTATAGAACATAAATATATACTCCTCACCTTTAATTTTTGCCTGAATAAAGTTTGATCCCATGTCATATTTATAGTGTTTTCTGGGTGTATTATTGTGTGTTTTTATTATGCTTCTCTGAAGCCATGTGTTCTCCCACACACTGCAAATCAAGTAGTTCCACCTGTTTCAGCACATATATCTTTTTTTCTGCAAATATGCTAATGGGAGAATGTGACAGGATTTTCACAGTCTTAATCAGCTCTCATTGAAGAAGGACACACAGGCTGAAACACATTCATTCTGTGATGATGCGTGGGCAGTCACGGTTTATTGAGGTGTATGTGCCAGATATTTAATCTTAATAAAGAACATTAATTGCTCACAGACAAAATTAACAGTTTTTGTAAAAGGATTTAATTTGTATTATTGCTGAAAATGTACTTGAACTGCACCACTTTTCATTTTACTGAAGCGGAATCCTCTTTTAATGCTGAGAAGGAGTTTGTAAGCTTCCTCAAACACAGAATAATTTGAGAACAGCATGTATCCCTTTCATTTAAATCAGCCTATGAAACATTGGTGTAGGCGTTAGGATTATAGCTTGAACAATTCTTACTATGTTTGGGTGTAAAATCTTGAACTACATATTTTATAGGAATACATTTTCTGCACTGAATTGTGTTTGTGTATAGCTACAAGTAATAAGTATCTGGATATAACCCTGTTTAACATTCACTTGAAATAGTCTGATATTCTTTCTCTGTTATGTCCTTTATACCAGTGTTTCCATGCACACTCAGCCACACACATATACTATGGGCAATTTAACTTCACCAATTAATCTATAGCGCATGTCTCTGGACTGTGGGGTAAACCAAAGCACCAGGAGGAAACCCACGCAATCACAGGGAGAACATGCAAACTCCACAACTGAGCCAGCCGAGGCTCGAAGCAGAGACCTTCTTGCTGTGAGGCGATCTTGCTACCCACTGCGCCACTGTGATGCCAGATATCACACGAATGCATTGTCCCACCAGTGACGGTATACAGCCACATTGCACTACTATAAGTGTGATATTGCATTTATACAACAGTTTGATGGCATGATAGTGTATAAAAAAGAAAAACAAACTACTTTCTTCCACCATTAATACACATTTGCAGCTGATGTCAGAATAGCAGAAGCCATTACTAATTCTCCAACATCATTTTATAGCTAGTATTTGGATTATTCTCTAGCGTAATATCTAAAGTGATGACAAAACAGGTAATTTTGCTGACATTTTAATGTTATATGGCTGACCGGCATGAAATGCCATCAGTCTAGAGACATTTCCCAGTATTTTCCTGTTGCAATCGGGATATCACAATAACCCAAAAAAAGTCTAGGCAACGTAAACACTACCAGATTTTTGTTGTGTTTGCGATAAAGAAAATTACTAAACACATGCAGGCATTTCTTCTTTTGTTCTCTCTCTCAGGGTTATACAAATAGTGGCCAACACAAATTGCTCACATTCCTTATATGGTAGTCCCATCTCACACTCAATACACTACAGTTACTGTAGTATAAATACAGCACTGTAACGTAAAAGAGAGAGAGATCGACGTAGAATGTGACTCAACAGTTTATTAATGATTTGATCAGCTGTTTGAAAATTCATTCATTCATTTTCGGCTTAGTCCCTTTATTAATCTGGGGTCGCCACAGAGGAATGACCTGCCAATTTATCCAGCATATGTTTTACACAGTGGATGCCCTTTCAGCTGCAACCCATCTCTGGGAAACATCCATACACACTCGTACACTATAGACAATTTAGCCTACCCAATTCACCTGTAGTGCATGTCTATGGACTGTGGGGGAAACACCATCTGACCTAACCGAGGCTCAAACCAGCAACCTTCTTTCTACGAGGCGACAGCACAACCTACTGTGTCACTGCGTCGCCTAGTTTGAGAATACGCAGATTTTTTCTCTTATAAGGGCATATTATGTGGTCTCTGACGCCATCATGTGGATGGAAAACATCAACTATCTTTGCTCAGCTCAATGACAAGCTGAAGCAGAAATTATAAATATTTTAAAATAGGCAATATCCTTATAAAAAAATCTGCAAATGCAATCTAAACAACTACATTCTGGCCCAAAAAAGCCTCAAAAGTACATTATGTACAGCTGCAATATTTGAAGTCAGAATTATTAATTCCCCTGAATTATTAGCCCCCCTGTTTATTTAATTAACCAAACAAGACTGTGACAAGACCAAACAAGAAATGTCCTTGATCTGTTAGATATCATTTGGGAAATATTTAAAAAAGAAAAAATATAAAGGGGGCAAATAACAATTTTCAACTGTTAAATATTACTTATAAATTATTATTTATTATTATTGGGCGAAGCAGTTGCGCAGAGGGTAGTGCTGTCGCCTGAAAGCAAGAAGATCGCTGGGTCACTGGTTCGAGCCACGGCTCAGTTGGCTATTCTCTGTGGAGTTTGCATGTTCTCCCTGCACTCGCATGGGTTTCCTCCAGGTACTTTGGTTTAACCCACAGTCCAAAGGCATGCGATACAAGTGAATTGGGTAGGCTAAATTGTCCATAGTGTATGAGTGTGTGTGTGAATGTGTGTGTGGATGTTTCCCAGAGATGGGTTGCCGCTGGAAGGGCATTCGCTGCGTAAAAACTTGCTGGATAAGTTGACGGTTCATTCCGCTGTGGCAACCCTGTATTAATAAAGGGACAAGCTGACAAGAAAATGAATGAATGAATGATTTATTAATATTATTTTATGCAATGTGTTATAATACCCTGCATGGGTCAAATATTAGATGTTCTATTTTAGTGAATGTTTTCTATGTGGTAGAGAAATGTGGTAAAATGGTTCTACAAATTGAGTTTTTTTGTTATGTACGCTTTTGTTTTTGGTGGTGGTGATGATGATGCTTTTTTGTCTTTTGAACCCCATTTGGAGCAAACTGCATTTAAAGAAATATATTGTGAATGAATGTATGAATATTCTTTCCAATATTATTTCTAATGCATATCCTTTTTCCATGAAACGCAAAAAATTTGTTCATTCATTCATTTTCTGCTTAGTCCCTTTATTAATCTGGGGTCACCTCAGCGAAATGAACCACCAACTTATCCAGAATTTGTTTTTCGCAGCAGATGCCCTTCCAGCCACAACCTATCTCCGGAAAAAAAAAAGGATTTGTTGAGTTTAGTTAATCTAAGCGAATAAACCATAACTAAAAATACCAAAAAACAAATGCCATATAAAGTTTAAACTGCTTAAATCAAAACCTTATTTATAAAATATTAAAAATATTAATATATATAAACAATATTCTAAATATTTAGGGTTAAGACAGATTCCCCCTCAAGTCCAAAGACATGGGTGAATTGAGTAAGCTAAATTGTGCATAGTGTATGTGTGTGAATGAGTGTGTATGAATGTTTCCCAGTGATGGGTTGCAGCTGGAAGGGGATGCGCAGTGTAAAACATATGCTGGATAAGTTGGCAGTTCATTCCACTGTGACGACCCCTGATTAATAAAGGGACTAAGCCAAAAAGATAATAAATGAATAAACGAACAGCTGTACAGGTTTGGATACTAAAAGCACTAAATAAATGAACAAATAAAAATAACCTTCAGAACCTGAAAAGGCATTTACGAATTCTGAAATTACCTTGAAATTCCAACACCAGTACATTTTTCCATATCAACACTTTAGTTTATTTAAATATGAAATCATCAAGATCAATAATTTTAAATGCGTTTTGCAATTTTGACCACAAGATAGCACTGTATATCTCAAAGCTCTAGACTGGCAGTCCACACTTCAGTAAGATAGCGTTAGTTCCTGGACTCTGATCTCTGCAGCTATGCCACTTCAGTTAATATATAACACCCTCACATACAGTACCAATAATCAGTGCTCGTAAACCATGATCCACACAAGAGAACAGAGTTTAAACAGTCAGCAACTTGTCAGCAAAGTTCAACAAACTGCTCGGCTAAAATTCCACCTGAAGAAAATTAGTTATCTGGAGTGAACTTGATGTGACGTGACAGACGTGCGATTTGTGTCCATCAGGGTTACGTTCAGAAGCTCGTCTGGTTCTGCCTGAATCATGTGAGTCAGTCGTCACAGGGTGAAGTGGATTGTGTGGGTCGCTCCACAAGAGCACAAGATAGCCGCAGTGGAAAGGGTGCAGGGTCAGCCTTTGAGTGTTTGGGTATTTTTAGTCTGACCCTGGCGACAGCCCAGCACATTCTCTCTGGTGGCTGGGGAGCAGATAGCAGGGATGTGCATACACTATTCTGAGGGCCAGTTGCTGAGTGCCGTCAAAGTTTTTATGAAAACAATGAGTGATGAATTATTATTAAATGGATAGTTCAGCCAAAAATGAAAGTTTCCACACCATTAACTGACTTATTCAAGTGGGTCGAAGTGTGTATTTAATTCTTTGACTCACTGTTCTGAAAAATATTGGTTGCCATTGATAGTAAGAACAAAAAATACCATTGGCTGGTTCTTCTGTCTATCTACAAATAGGCTGCACCGTGGTGCAGTTTGTTGCACAATTGCCTCACAACAAGAAGGTTGCTGGTTCGAGCCTCGACTGGGTCAGTTGGCATTTCTGTGTGGAGTTTGCATGTTCTCTCCATGTTCGTGTGGGTTTCCTCCAGGTGCTCCGGTTTACTCCACAAGTCCAAAAGCATGTGGTATAGGTGAATTGGGTAAGCTAAATTGTCCATAGTATATGTGTGTGCATAGATGTTTCCCAGTGATTGGTTGCAGCTGGAAGGGCATCCGCTACCTAAAACATATGCTGGATAAGTTGGCCGTTCATTCCGCTGTGGCAACCCCAGATCAGTAAAGGGGCTAAGCTGAAAAGATAATGAATGAATGAATAACTTGAAATAATCCCAGTTTTGGAACATGTGGAGGATGAGTAAATGGTCAGAAGTGTCTCCATTTAAATAAATCATGACTTTAAATAGAAGCAAATACTTCAGTCAAACTAAAGATGTTAATGAAGATTAAAGGCTGGCAGATTTAAAATGGTGATGTTGCAC